GCCATACGGGGTGTTCGGCAGCAGTTAATCAATATGTTGGGATTCTCGAATGTCCTCTGCCAATAGATGGCCAATACTATTTTTTAATAATAATTTCTTATTTTATAAGATTTCTGGACATTTGACGTAGGGAGCATAATATGGTAGTCACTTAGGTGAACCTTACTCGTAGAGCCGCACCTGGCAACCTGATAACCGAAGTATAAGATAGAAGAACCATTACGAGTTCAAATCCCGAAAGGACTTTTAACTCGGTATAATTCCCCGCCCACTCACCTGGCCAGAGGAAAAAAGATTGACAAAAAAAATGACTAGTATGAGCTATATTAACTATGTTCATTCCTGAATATTAAATAAGAAAACAATTCTTACGAAGAAATTTTGGAAGGTTGTTAAATATTCCAAAAGACGTGGTTGTTTTAGAATTATAGACCTAAATTCCGACTTAAAATTTATAAAACTTCACACAACTACAAAATTACTCTAAATGAAGTAATGTTCGATGTCAAAGAGAGGATCAAAGAAAGGCAAAGGTTTGTCAAACACAGAACATCATAGGCGCAAAATTTTTGAAGGGGGGATGCGATGGACAAATAAAAATTGGGGGAGTTATATTATGTTTAAACATTATTTATAATGATAAATAAATAAAATCAACATAATTATTGTGAAACCAACAAATAAAATACGCAATATATATAAAAAAAAAATTAAATATGTTGTAGGATTTTAGTTTATTATTTTCAATAATGAACCATTGTAATCACAAAAAAACTTAACCTCTCCTCTCAAAATTCTAGGTTTCACGTTTCGGATACATAGTTCTCGAAAATCGAATACAATTTGTTTTTGTATTCGTATTGGTATATTTGAAAATAGTTTAACAAAACATGGGAAGAGGGAAACAGATTCCATAATATAGGAACATTTTCAGAATTAATAATACTAAAGCTGAAAAATATTCCTGATTCCTTAGTTTGAACAATTTTAGTGGGCGGGGTAGCCGAATGGGCTAACGCGTATGCACAGCACCGCCGTTGCCCGGCAACCTGATATATCAATCAAATGATATAAAATAGTCACGAGCTCGCATCCCGGTGCCGAAGGAGTTTTAAATCCCCGCCCACACTCCCTGGCCCGGGAATACCCCGTATAGCCTAACGGCGAGGAAGGGGAGGACAAAAACAAAAAAGTTTGAACTGTTGTTCCTTAATTTGTTCGCACTTTTCGCTATGCATTATTCTCCCTGAATATAGATGGAAATTTAAATAATAGTAATATTTAGGTTGTGATACAACACTATAGTACCTACTTCTTGGCTTATCCATACTTGATGATTCCTATTTTCTTAATCGATTTAACTTTTCACAGTTTGTTCATTCATATAGATTTTTTATTATTAATCTATTTTTTTTATTTCAAAATTTTGGATGAGGAGTGTGAAACGATATTCTCGCCCTCTTTATATTTTTAATTGGGAGAGGGTGGAGGCAATATGATAGCCCCTCACGCTCTTCCGAAGTCTGCGTCTTTGCAGGACTTACAATTCCAAGTTATCTTCTGATCACGGAACTTGTGAGTACTTAATGCAAATATATCGATGCTAATTTATTATCTTAGTTTAGATAATAAATTATCATTGGAAAAATATATTTATTTCGAATTTTGAAACATAAATATGAAATATTTCTTATGATTGTGCCATAATTATCATGAACCTTTTTTTTCATTATCCATTGATAATATGAAGGAGTAACGGGAATCCCGATATCAGTAAGTAGGTGATATGCTTATACGACAGGAGCCCTGATGGAGACAAAACAAAGATTTCAGTCCTCCTTTATTACAGTCATCAATTGCAACCGCTTCATCATTGATTCCAATTGTTTTTTTTTATTTTGGGAGAGCTAATTTTTATTTACTTATTTATTGTTACATTTCACATTTACCCTAGCGAGTCATTAGCGGCTTTAAATGAAATCAAATTAGGTGGACAAATTTTGGGGGCGGGGTGGCCGAATGGGCTAAAGCGTGTGCACAGACAGCACTGCGATTTGCCTGGCAACCGGAGAACAAAGATTTCAGATGATAAAAAAGCACCCTCCGGCCCGGGGTAGGTCGGGGTATAAGTCGAGGTAGGGAAGAACCAAAAAAAAAAAAAAAAAAAGGTAGGCAAATTTAATGTCTTTTATAAATTCAAATACTTTTTGTATTTTCTTCGTCATCTGATAGTGCGTCAGATATGTTGGGAGGTATATTATGTTTTGTTCTGGTGTCAGAGTATAGTCTGCAAGTTGTTACAATGTGTTTCAGTGTAAATGATTTGTTGCATGTTTTACAATGGTGGTTAATGGTGGTTCCAGGCCTCTCATTAGATAGCCATGGGTAAAGGCTGCATGTCCGATTCTAAGACGAGTTTTTTTTTTTTTTATATTTGTTTATTTAGAGATATTACATTCTGTCACATCAAGGACATTTCAACGACGAGTTAAAATTATTTCTTCTTTTCTGTTCTTTCTGAAAGAGGTCGTCCATGGTTTGGCATCTTTTTTAATTACTTGCAATTTATTTGTAGATTGGTTCCTTAAATTAAATTAAACTTAAATTGCCATTTTTCATTTAGCATTTATTTGCATTCCAATCTCCAGTCAGCAGTGGTCGTTAAATTGGTCATTGTGGTTCCATTTGTTTTTCTTCTTGCGAGGTTCGCAGCTTTGATCACAATAGTTTGATAAGACAAGAATTATTTTATTATAAAAACTGAGGACTCCCAAACTTGCTGAGCTAGTCAACATTTTGTAAAAAATATACAATATTTATAAAATTTAGAGTAAATTCTGTACAGAAATAAAATATTTGAAGGTTAAAAAACTACGTAGTGCTCATACATCCTGGCATATTTGCGAGCTCTAAATAAAATATACCTATCGTTTGTTAAAGCTGACATACTTTTTTATCCAAAATTAGGCACGACCTATAATTGTATTTCAGTTATCCACAATCAATAAATAAAAGTATTTGTGAATCAGAAGGTTCGATATCGACATTAAACGCCGTTTCATACCATTAACTCAGTTTTCATTGCAATCTCCTAAACTCCCCAATTCCACTCATTCTTCATGGAAAATAATATTCTAAATATTCTTACTAATGCAAACCTCTTCCTTAAAAAATTGCCACATTAAAAAGTATACCAATAAGTATTCCTTGATTTTTTTTTCTAGTTCATAGATTTCAATACTTTGTGTTTAAGAGTTCAAATCTATATTAGAAACTATGTATTTTTTAAAAACAATTTATTTATCCAAAGATCACAGGCTTTCATGAACGTTATTGTCTTTAGTCCCAAAGTTTCTTCGTTTTCATTTAACAGTATAAAATCATCAGTTTACTGAAGTACGGATAAACTCAGATCACGATATTATATATATTTTGTCCTCCCGTACGTACGTTAATGTCACATCCTTGTTTTAAACCCTAACAAACCATAAACCTCTCAAGAAATATTTTTGAAATACTCAAGAAATACCTTTTTCTTTTAATTTTTTTATTTAAACTGGAAACTAAAAATTTTACATAATGTTGTATAGGTGCATTTTCTGTCTGATTGTATATTTGCAAAATCGTGCATTATTTTAAATTTGGTGTTCTTCACATGTGAAATTTAATTTGCTCAGAAAATACACATATATAAAGGTAGGTGTGTGATTATAATATTTGGATGATTCAAAATTATTCTGATATATGAGAAATTTAATTTGGAATGAGATTCAATTAATTTATACTGTAAAGAATGTCATTGAGCATTGATAAAATATTCCTACTAATCTTCTGACTTAATAATTGGGTTAATAGATTTCATTCGGATCAGAATATGTGATGAATGAATTTAAACGACAATGACAGACTAGTTTTCCTTGCGAACTCAATCGCAAAAAACTATTCTTTATTAAACAGTTGCCGACTGTCGCTCTTTTGCTCTCTCTCTCTCTCTCTCTCTCTCTATATATATATATATATATATATATATATATATATTGTGTGTGTGTGTGTGTGTGTGTGTGTAGTGTATATGCCTAGGTCTATAGCTGATGACACTAAGAGACAATATGGAGAGGGCTGAGACAGAGGCGGTCAATAGCTGCTATATTAGTCTTTATTGGCCCAGCAATCTTCGCATTATCTTCTCCATTTAAGCTAAGTGCCTTTCGTTTGTGACTTAAACATATGATTGGCACTAACTAGTAACCACGAGGGGGAAGTCCCATGCAGCTCTGATGCACCCATCGTGGATAAGCAACAATTAGTGATGATGTTTATTTCTTCTGCAAAAATGGCAAAGCTAATCAATACAGAGTTATGAAAGAAAGAAAATAAAAACCGCCATATTGTAATACTAAAATATAGCGGTTTTTAACACAATATTTACAGAAGGATGAGGAATTATTTAAAGGGGATAGGGTAAGTTAGTATAAGGATTGGAGAACTTGTCTTTGTTTTGTTTTCAGACTTTTGAAAGTGAAGACCCAACCGCTCCTAATTTATACATACATATATATATATATATATATATATATATATATATATATATATATATATATATATATATATATATATATATATATATTGATCTTTTTTTTTGTTTATTTCTTAGTGGTTACATACTACTTTTTAAATAATATATATAATGTTAGAATTTTTATAAGTTAGTTTTTGGCCAGGTTTGTATTTTATTTTGTATTAACTCATCTTTTATTATTCTTAGACCCAGAATAAAGTTCAATTTCCTATTTTATTCTATTCTATATATAATAAGAGCATGTGCTCTATCCATATAAATTAATTAAGAAACAAATTAGATCCTGTTTGGAACTCTACACAACTGTTTTGCGTATAATAAAAGATTAAATAATAAGATTATGAGAATAAAAACAAATTCAAATTTGAGTATTCAGTAGTTGGGTGTAATATAATATTAAAACAACTTGGTAGAAACTATTTTATTTAAGCCAACATTTCAAGAAGAAGATATGAAGACCAGGACAGCAGCGAAGTGGTCTAGCGGGATAAACCCATGTGCTAAACACGCGTTGTCTGGCAACCTATTAAACAGAAGTGATCATCATAATACAATTATGAGGACGCGTCCCCGTATCAGGAAGCTTTTATCTCTGGTCCTAATTCCCCGCCCTCTCATCTGACTCGGGAAAAAACTCCTTATAGCCTAAAAATCGTAGTTGTTTGAAACTTTGGCTTAGATTAATCAGTTTTCACAATTTAAAGTTTTGTTTTTTATTATGACCGTTAATTAGGACCATTGTTTTCCTATATAAAAATTTGATATTAAAGTAATTAAATCATGGGTGTTATTCGGTCTCAATTATCGAAGAGGCCAGAACCATAATAGAGAAGTTTCATTTTTTTTAATTTAAAGATATCTAGGTCTACCGTATATCGGACGCTCTCCATAACGGACGCATACGGATGTGATACATGTACTTTGATTGATAGGATTGTTCATAACCGAAAACAGGAAACTGGTGAAGCCCAACATAGATTCTATTATAATTGTATAGTTCAATTAGGACATTAGGACAGAGGTTTAATCTTTTGTTGTTAGTTCTCCTGGAGAATTGATTAACAATATTTCAGATATGAGGTATTTTATTGAAAAGAACAATTTTCTAAAACCTTTGATCTCATCATGAAATTCAAGTAACGTTCCTCTATCTATAGTCGCATAGGAAATCAGGCGCCATCCAAGCACAACTGCGCTTTCAAGAGCTAGTGCTCGCCATGGATCGACTAACCTATAAACACGGTTAAACTTGAAATGATTATAGCTAAAGGGATACTACACCCTCACTATAATAATAATGAAATTGTTTATTCTTAGGCATTTGTTGAAACAAATATGCAATATTTTAATTTGTTTTATGTCGAAGAGGACAATGAAGCTCTCGGAATATTCAAAATATTGCTGCGGACGCATAGGACCATTAAAAAAATTAGGATGATAAAATAGAGTCATCTGTAATATATGTTTTATTTTCGTTTATAAGTGAAAACTTGATTAGGCGCGCTTTGCAATTTTTTTATGGGTAGTGAATGAGACTGAGCCTCCAGTCCCCCTAGTCCTAGTCTTCACGTCTACTAATTGAAGTGGTTTTTGCATTTGAATTAAAATATTTCAGAATGCATATTGTGAGCGAGGAAAACGATCAGCATTTTATCATCTTTGTAATGAACTTCAAAATTAAATTTTGACTTAACGGCGAGTAAGAGAGTTGGAAAGAGAGAAAGATGGTGCCAAAAAACCAAATACGTCTGTTTTGGATATTTCATATTATTAACCCAACTATTTGATGTTTTCACTTTTATCGTTTGGTTTTAAGCACACACCATAAATTTTTTTTAAGAATATTTCTTTATCGAGTCAATGAAAACTGTGGAGTTTCACCCATTTCAAATATAATCTTGCCTCGTATAATGTCAAAGCAAAAGCTATGATAAGTTATATATTTTACCTGCTAATTATCATTAAATGATAGTTTTGTTTTTAATATTATATGGAATCTAAATCTATTTTAGTCAACTATAATGATATCAATAAACAAATTAATTGCTTCATGCTCGAAGTGGCTTAAAAGTAAATTATAATCTAGCTTAAAAGTAGACGGAAGATAAAGCTTGACTAATTTTCAATAAACTTCCATTTAGGAGATAACTGGCCTCTGAGTTTAGAGTTAAATTTACTTCTTGTCTAAAACAATCCTAATCCTCTTACCACTTTCCAATAAATCAACATTTATCATGTCAAGGTAAGCTTTGTAATAATTTGAACTAGGAATTTTTCAATGGATATGCAGGCAGCTGTAATCCATTTTTTTGTTATTGGAAATAACATAAAATTAGGTTTAACACAAGGCCACATTAGTTCTTGAATCAGTAATCGTCCCGTAAGAATTTGAAAATAAAATAAATTAGAATGGAAGTTATGTTTCTATTTTTTTTTTTTTTTTTTTCCGTTTGGCACTACAGACCTTGAAGATTTTTGGCCGCGAGATGTGGTCTCCTTACAGACTTATACTGCTCGCGGGAGCTCAGCTAGCCTGGAGGGGGTCACTCAACCTCACATTGCTACGAACCATGCTCCCCACGGTGCAGCAGCAGGCAACCCGCAGCCACAACCTGGCCTTCATGGGCACGCCACCCGTAGCTCCATAGCCTATCCCTTTAGGGCCAATCTGGCAATGTCCTACCCACCGACTCAGGTGCAAGGACAGTAATAAATTGGTATAGATCCATGGATTATGGCTGCTCGGAGTCAGCAGACGCACGAGGGCCTATATTTCCCCGAAACAGACCATCCATGGACCGAACATCAGGGGGGCTATTACCATCCTTTTAAACCTATTCCCTATTCCTATTCCCGATTTAAGTACAAGGGGTTGGGTCATCAGTCCTACTCCCGGTCGGTGTGAGTTGCCTCCAGTAGCCTGACGGGACTCACGTACACGGGGAGGGAGAGACACTCGAGCAGCATGGCTTTCTCTGGTGGACGGTCATCCAAATTGGGCGGTCACACATCCAAGTACGTTCGACGTTGCTTAACTTTGATTACCTAATGGAAGCGCCTTAGCACGTACGGCTACCCAAGCCCCCTCCCCTGTGCTTCTAATTATATTGTATACTAATTACTTAAAACTTTTATGACAATTTTTATCTTTTTCTTTTCTCATACAGTAATATGAGGTAACTTTAGGACTATGTAGGTAACTTTGGGATAACGTATAAAATTTAGTTTGTGGTAATTCCGTTGTGGATACACTGTGTTGGTTCAGTCAGCATGGACATCTACTGCCTTGCGGCATACTACTCTTGAGACACAAGCGAAACTTTCATGAAAACAAGAATTTTGAAAAAAAGCAATAGGAATAAATAAAACCTAACTGTACATCGAGTATAGTGAACTAGGGTTCTCAAACTGCCGCAAGATAGTAGCACCGTACATGCCTACACAAAGCACGTTCATGCAGACTGAACCAACACATTGTATCCACCACGAAATCATCAAAAACTAAATTTTACCAGCAGTCCCAAAGTTATCCAACCAGTCCCAAAGGAGCCCCATCTAACGGTAATTCATTAAATAATCAAATGAATATAATAATAAAAAGTAATTGATCTTTCGTAACAACATTAAAAATATATACATGTAACTAATAATAATAATAATTAATAAATAAAATAAGGGGAGAAAAGAAGGTAATATATATATATATATATATATATATATATATATATATATATATATATTATATATATATATATATATATATATATATATATATATATATATATACATATCTCAAACACGCACACACACACAATTAATTAATGAGTGTATTAATTAATAAATTAAATAAATGAAAAAGATAAATAGAAATTATTATTACAGCTCTTTCATTAAATTTACCCTTGTTAGAAATGTTATTATTTTATCAGTTCTAAGGCTAGTGATATTTGTAAGTAATTTAATTTACGACTATAACAAGGTTCCCTTTACTTCCGGAGTACAGATATAAATAACAGAAATTTTTAATTTTTAAGTAATAAATACTTTTGTATATGTGCATAAAAATACCTACGATCTTTACTACTTAGCATCTTACCCACATAACAACGGAAACGTCATAGCTTGGACCCTGATGCAGTTGATGCATGCTATGAAACCTTGAAGTGACAGCTGGGGTCCATGAACTGTAATGTGTTGTCTAATGCTGAGTTGTTTTATTGCATTTTACTGCCGTCTCATGCTCACATCACATTGCATAAGTCGTAATTTTTATTAAGAAGAAAAAAAAAGGAAGAAAAATCAAACATGGGGCTATTAAATGGTCTAATAATATTTTATAGTTTACTAATCGTTTGGTAATTTAAGACGATGAAATTAAAATGTGTCTTATTATACAATAATAGTCAACTGAGGATTTCATGGCATTCAATTACTGAAACCGATTTCACATACTCATGTTATCACATGTTTAATTTCAACTACTGTACAACTGCAATAACAATTAAGCAGGTAATTAGTTTGTATTTTTTATTATTTTAAGCCATACTAATACCCATAAATTTGTAACACTGTTATTATTCTTGGGGGACTGTAGTCCCAGAATTAAATTATTTTTTCATTCATTCATTCATACTCCTGAAATACTATATTTTGGAACAAGGATTACACACAACAATATTTAAGATAAGATAATTAAATAAATATTCTGAATATTTTTAATATAATAATAAATGTAACTTACAAGTCTATGAATTATGATGACGTAGTGACAGGAATGAGGAGCGCTATTTAATTTTGGTTTATTTTATTTTTTTCGATAAATAATTTTTGACTCAGATGAACATTATTTCATTAGCCTTTTCAATCCACCCTTTTAATTTTAAAAACCTTCCTAAAGAATTACTGCACCATTGATCAATAAGCTACTTATCTATCCTCTCAGAAGTACATGAATATTCTAGAGATTTTAAGTTAAAAATAATATTTAAAAATATCCTACAACAAAAACATGCTTATATTTTTCTTTGCATGGTTCGCATTGATACTCTATAATTCCACAATATGCACTCAACCGTATCTTAAACAATGATAGAGATTGGTGCTGAAATTTTGGCTCGGATTTTGAGAGAATAACTGATAAAGACAACAGAGAACTCTATCAGAACAGGAAAGAATTTTATGGCAGCATTGTCTAGAACGAAATATATAAACTATAAATAATTGTTCTTGATAAAACGAAACTATTTACCAAAAGATAATCTAATCTGGATACTCTTAAACAAAATGATTAGTATTCTTAAGGAAAAAAGATAAGTAGAATCTTTTCTTTTAGATTTTGGCTCAATCTGTATTTCCATAAGATACAATCAATACTATCATAACTGTATAGATTGCAATTAAATGATTTCGAGGTTCGAATATTGGCATTTCATGATCTCCTTCTTTCTTTTTTTTTAAAGTTCAGACTAGATTTTAAGGCATTAGTGGGTGAATGACCTATACAACAAATTAAAAACGCACTATATTATTAAACAACGGTTTATTATTTCCAAAAAAATGTAACATTATTTATCATGTCAAGTAAAGGAAAATAAATAAAATGTGATTTCTAATATGGCCCTAAATAAGAGAGAGAAACACTTTATTTTCATTAAAATATAAAAGATTGCAGCCCAATTATATTGGGTTGCTATATACACAGCATACTCTTTAATCCTTAGGACATTAAATGAATTTATATATAAATATACAGAAGTGTTAGTTTATATTAGTAAAATAGATAATATATACATTTTTATTATTTTATTTATTTTTATTATTTTTTTTTTCCTTTTTCCTTCTTTTCATTGTTCATGCTTTTTTTTTTATTTAACATTAAGTTTCCCTTTCTCTCACTTCTCTCTCTTTATCTCCACTGTTTTCAACTTGTCATTAAATAAATAAATACATAAATTAAAACTCTCAGGCTAGCTATGCACGTGGTGCTGAATGATTCTCAGGCAGTCGAAGACTATACTTTCAGCCAACCTCGCTACGTCCTTAATGTCGACACCTAGTTCCTCGAGGAAGCTCCTTGTTCTTTATGGGATAGTTCCGCGAGACCCAAATCAGAGGCCTCTCACGGTGAACTCTCTCTCTCCGAAGGTCTCACGGAATTTCTCTTTTAGGAATGGGATACATTTATAGTACGTGTTCTTCTTTTTCCTTTCCACTTCACCCGCCTGATCGCGGCCATTGCTCTCAAAGCGGTCAGTTGGATCCAAGATCAGCGCTGTCCTTCCTCTCTTGGAAAATACGACGATATCCGCTGTCTCGTACACTATCGATGCAATATACCTCGTCAAAGCAGGTGAATTTCCTTTCCCTAAGGAGCCTCATCACCTCGAATCTGACCCGGTGGTGACGACGTGTTATGAGGAGGGAGTTGTTGGGGCATTTTCCCAGCACATGGGCTGGTGTTTCAGACTCTCTGCCGCATTTAAGGCATAGGGACCCAACTTCTCCGACCTGTCCGCTAACTCCTGGGACTCCACGCAGGGGTGCATAATTAATCTTTAGTTTTAGGCCATTCGACCATTCAGAACCAGAAAGTACTTGCTTTTCGTAGATGTATCATATTTTAATTCAATATTGCTAATTTGCTCAGGAAAATAGACAAGATTGGTTCAGTTGATTTTAAACTTTTTATAAATCAAAAACCAAAACAAAAGATATGAATTTAGCAGTAGAACATGGGAAATATTAAGGACACCACATATTTGCACCAAATTGGCCGATTTCGATGAAACATTCTTTATTTTTTAGGAAATTTAAATACCTTTGAAACGCGTTATAATAAGTGTATACTTTTTCAGTTGTTGAGAAATATAATTTCACTACCCCTTTTAACTTTTTTTCCATCTTCTTTTCGATGAAGTATGTTGTATAGATAAATTTATAGAGCTTCGAATAAGGAGTCTTTAGAGAAGTTTCATCAAAATCGGTACATTCGCATGGGCGCTACAGTCCATACGGTACAGATTTTAGGGCCACCAACTTGATGCAAAGTACTTTTCGGTGAAGTATGATTTATGGATATATTTCAAACTCATAGAAGGCGCTACAGTGTATACCAATATAATTTTTTCGACCGCCATCTTAAAAGATAGTAATATCGAGGTAAGAGGATCATCTTCGGGTAACCTAATGACTTTTATTCCAAATCTAAAAACAATCGGAACAGTAATTTCAGAGAAAAGCCCCGGACGGCAGACGGACAAATTATTTTATTCGATTTTCGAGTTCTGCGTAATCTGAGACGTAACGACTCAATTTTGAGGGAGGGAGGTTAAGTTTTTGAATTTTTTGGTCGATTTCAACGATTCATCATTAAAAATAATAAACCAAAATTTGATTTTCTTACGAATGAGGGTACAAGTTTATTTGTAATTTTTTCCGAAGTTAAAATCTGCAATAATGGACCTCCTCCACTCTCTTCTTCAATAAGGATCTTATAAAATATAATGAACTAACCAACTTCGATACTGAGCTACTATAAAAAAAATCTGGGCTTTTTCCTTTAATTTTTATTTATTTTATTTTTTTTTTAATATATTTTAATTACGTAATTGGAGTTGTGAACAGGTTATTTGCAGAAAATAGCACTGAAACAAAACAAATTGACATTAGTCACACATTTGCTTCCATAATTCATGTTCTTTCGGAGAGAAACCAAATGACTAATCTTCGACAGCTCATCCTAGTGGATATGGCGTGCTAATGGAGTGATAAAATATGAGAAAGAAGGGAATTGAAAAATATAGAAATCTAATATTTAGTAATTTTAATCCACGAATTCTCGTGGCCGAACCCTGCTGTCTGCACTCAATTCCCAACGTTTTCACCTCCTTTGCCCTAACTCTCCTACCTACTGGCCTACAGATCTCAACCGTAATCCTGATCTTCGTGATTTCTTTATCCACAGCGGCTTAAGTCCCCTAAATTGTTCCATTACACGTCTAAATGAACTTTCCTCGGAGCATAGTCCTCTAATCCTTAATGTTTCACTTGAACCCGTTTCCAAACCTTCTCCACCGTCATTTATTAGGGGCTCAGTTAACTGGGACCTTTTCCGCCAAATCATCTCCGATAAAATGATCTTAACATATCCCTCAATACTCCCGATGACCTTGATAGTGCCGTAAATTCCTTTACTACCACAATCCAATAAGCCGCCTGGACTGCCTCCTTCCCAAAAAGACTCCTCCGGAATTGCTAAAAAGACCATTCTACCCCAACACCTCCTTGACCTAATCCACACTAAACGCCGTGCCAGATTATTGTGGCAACGTACCCGACATCCTACCGACCGCTGCTCCTATAATTATTACTGCAAAAAATTAAAACTGGAATTAGCCACCTTCCGATCACATTCCTTCAACTCCTACCTATCCTCCCTCTCTTCTCGCGACAATTCCCTTCAGAAAACCACAACAAAAATTTTAAATCCTCACCGCATTTCCCATCCTCCCCGACGAGATGATGGCTCCTGGGCAGCATCTGACGAAGATAAGGCTGAGGAGTTCGCTATTCACCTATTCAATACATTTATTTCACTTCCGGAATCCCATCCTGCCCACACCGTAACAGTAGAAGAACTCCTTACATCACCAATCCCACTTTCCTTGCCCCCAAAAGCTATTCATCCTTCCGAAGTGAAATTTCAATTAAAAAAACAAATCCCCCGTAAAGCTCCTGGACATGATCTCTTTACCCCTCAAATCCGTCGACAACTTCCATCCAAAGCAGTCATATTCCTTACATATATCTACAATTGTATCCTACGCACCATCCACTTTCATCTGTTATGGAAACACTCCACTATTATCCTTTTCCCAAAATTAGGCAAACCTCCCAATATCTCAACATCCTATAGACCAATTAGCCTACTCCCAATCCTTTTAAAAATTTTTGAAAAGATCCTTTTGAAACGAATCCTACCCATTATAGAATCCCAAAATATTCCTTCCCATCAGTTTGGTTTTCGCTCCCAACATTCTACTGTTCAACAAGGACTCCGAGTTGTTGATCATATTTCCTCAGCCCTAGAAAACAAGGAATACTGTTCGGGTGCATTTCTGGACATTGCACATGCATTTGACCGGGTAT